ATTGATAGTACTAATATATTGTCTCTTGTTGCTCTCTTGAGCCGAGGGTCTCCTGAAAACAGCCTCTCTGCCCCTCGGGGTAGGGGTAAGGTCCGCGTACATATTACCCTTCCCAGGCTCCACTTGTGGGATTATACTGGGATGTTGTTGTTGTTGTAGTTATTTGTTACAAAAATACCATTCGACTGTTTGGAAAAGTTTTTGAAATGGCAGTTCTGTCTTTGTATATTCTTATTCATGTATTAAGAATTATATGGTATTGCTAATGCCATGATTTACTATGTATAAAAATAGTACTGAATAAGGTGTATAACTAATACATGTATAAATTACTAGTTATACATAAAATGAAAAATACTACTACCAAACAAGAATTAATAATATTAAAATTAATACATACATTATTTTCCCGAATACATAATAATCAAACAACCCTAACTGCTAAAAATTCCTCCACCTCATCTTTTCATATTCCTTCCCCCAAACCCCACTTTATTTTGGCATATAGGAAATACTTGATAAAATAAAAATTTAAAAGTTACTTGTAAAATTTTATATTTAAAGTAAAGATTAGCAGTGCCTCAGATAAGATAGAAATTTAACAAAGAAAAATGGATTAAGTTATCTACTTCCATACTAATATGATTATGAAATATAAAAAAGGTTTATTTCTCATAAAATGATATTTTAATTTAAAAAGTACTCCTACCACTAAGGAGGAAATATATTATCTTTCCTCTTCCTCTTCACTTCATTATTCTTGTGTTTCTCTCCTTCTTCCTCTGAATTCTGAAATGCTGCTTCTCTGACATCCTCATTCTTTCCCTCTGAATTTCATCCTTTCTCCTTTAGCTTCCACCTAAAATATTGTCACTACTCTCTCTATAACCAAAATCAATTCTTTCCAAAAATAACCAAAATTCTTGAATTCCATAGTTATTTTCCTCTACAGTTCACAACCATGCCTGTAGTATTTTCAGAAAGCTCAAATATTTCAGACCAAATTAGATACAGAAAATCCAGAACCCAAAACCAACAACAAGATTTAGATCCAATTCCAATATTATCTTCTTCTACTCGCTCAAAGCCTACAATTTCCTCTCTACTTTTAGCACCATTTTCTCCTACAAGTCCAACCCATGAAAACCCAACAACAACCAGTACCACCTCTACAGTTATTTCCACTAAAAAGAAAAACTTTACGACATTTAGAGGACTTGGTTGTACGGCTTCATCACAAGTGTCGGTTCCTGCTGTAATTAGAACTTCTGCTGACTGGGATTCCAAGAGAGTCAAGAAGAAAAAACAGAACAGCAACAAGAACAAATCCGTTAATTCTGCTGTTAATGTTAACGGAGGAGGGATTGGGTGCAATAATATTAATGTTATACTGAATAATACGTCATCATCATCGAGCTGTGTGGGTGTTCCTGATGTATGGTGTGGTCCTGGAATTGGATTAACTACTGATGCTGCTTCTGTTGATTGTGTTGTTTCAAGAAGACCCGTCTCTGGTAGGGGAAGAATTGAAAATGACAAGGTTACCCCTAGAGAGGTACTGTTATGTTTTGTTTTCTTGATTGTAGATTGCTTCAACATGAGAATTAATAGGCCTAGTTTGTTTACTGTTGGATTTTACTTATTGTTCTTGGTTTCATATGATCTTTAAGTCTTAAGCTTTGGATTTTCTCTTGGACTTTTGGTGAAGCATCTTTCACTAGGTTAAGGATGCGTATAGTAGACCCTTGTGGTTCGTCCCTTTACTTTAGTGCACCGGACCACCCTTTATATCTTTCACCAGGTTGAATTTCAGGGTCAAGGCAATTTCTCTCTCATTGTTATATCTGTTATTCTGAAATTAGCTTTCAGTGGTAACATTATCTTTTAATTTAATTCATTAGCTGGTTTATGTTTAGAGTTAGCTGATGATGAAAGTGGGAAGGTGCTCCTCAGTGGATTAGGATGTCATCTCTTTACCTCCCTGCTCTCTATGCTGTAGCATACGTCCTTTAGACTTGTCAATTGCTGATATTTCTAATACTGCATTTTACCATCTTTCCCTCAAAGAATTGAAGTTTTTGATTCTCAAAGTTATTTGGTAAGTCATGCTTACTGATCCTACATAATAAAAAAGAAAAAAAGGGTCATGCTTGGTTATCCTTCTGCTCGATCTCTCATTGTCAGTTCTGCTTGTTTTTCTCGCTTTTGTACTTCTTTGCCTCGCTGTGAAGTGACAGTAATTCATTTTCTCACCAGTTTCACTTTTGAATTTATGTTGTAACTTCAGCTTAATGGAGTCAGTAGATGAATGTTGAGTATATAGTTTACGTTTTATTTTTTTATAAAGTTGGTTATAAGGTTTACACAAGTTAATTCTTGCAAATCTAACAATTGTTTCCTTTTGTTTCTGTACAGCGAACTACATATCCTGTACGAAGAATGGTGAGCCCAGAAGACAACCCTTTTCTGGATATGGAAAGTAGCCTTGGTGTGCCGCGATCCCAAGTAGAATTATTTGCATCTAGGCATCATCGGCATTCTCGCCATGGTTACCCGGAAGGGCTTGCTGAGGTGAGTTAATACATACTTTACTGCCACACAGATTTTGTTATATCTTGCTGCTTCACTGCCTTTTGTCATGTAAATTGCGAAGTTGTCATTCGTGCGCGAATGTCCAAGTAAAAGTTAGTTTCCGGTGCTCAGGAGCATCTAGCTATGATCCCACAGTACCTTGCTGAACAATGATCTCGACTCTTTAGAATATCTATTAATTCTACAATTGTCATTTTCTTTAGAAGGAAACGATATAAGGGAAATAGGTTTTTGCACAACTTTTTGTCCAAATTATTGCTGGAACACAGCAATCTGAGCAGCTTGGTATAGAGGCTTTGCATGCTGATGCATCCTGCTAACGATTTTTACCTTAGTGTTTTAAATATGTCTGGTTAGCTAGGAAGATACCCAGCATATCGTTTATTGACTTGTTTAAATTAGTTGTGAGTGCCAAATAAAATTAAATGAGAGGTCATGCTTAGCCCCACAAGGAAATGCTCGTGCTCGTTTTATCACAGGAATTGAGCATCATTGGCTCAATGCTGTCAAAGTTTGATGCTATAGTTTTTTTTTTTGATTTGCACCGGGTGTCCGAGTTTCTTCGAGCCCCGACTATTCCCGGGGGTGCACAGGCCCTCGGTAAGGAGTTTCTCGCAAGTGCACCACGGTTAATTCAGGTTTTACCCAGTCCGATGGCCCTCAGAAATTGTTTGCACCCAGTGGGTTTCGAACTTGAGACCTTGAAAGGGAGCAAACCCCAAGGCTCAAGTCAATTGCCACCAGACCAACCCCAGAGGTTAATTCAGTTTGATGCTATAGTTTAAGAGACATAGTAAACAAAAGTGTTTTCTCTTTTGGGAAACATCATAAACTTAATCTGATTTCTGTCCTTCCAATTGCCATGCCTTAAATTGCTTTATGATCTTAATAATGGTAAAGCCGTCTGTGGTCCTAATTTAATGGAGTATCCTTGTTTAAGAGTTGAGGAGAAATGCACAATGGGATAATGTGCATGGACTTTGGGGGATAATGTTTGATTAAGGTTCTGAAATGTGATAGTCTACAATACTTTGTCACTGTAATCTCCTGTATTCTGCCTGACTGCCATGGATCAACTGGAACCAATCTTAGGAAGATAATATGCATGATCTTTGTGGGGTGTGATTGCAGATTGTGATGCTTCAAAATAGTCTTATGGGAGGAAGGACAGTTGGTCTTGATCGATATCGGGACTTGAGACTTGACGTGGATAACATGTCATATGAGGCAAGTCATTCCCTTGTCAATCTAGCCATCCTTTTAAATATATCTCATCTTCTCATAATCAATGATCACCGTTTAAATAAACAGGAATTGCTGGAACTTGGTGATAAAATTGGATATGTCAACACAGGATTGAGAGAAGACGAGATAGCTCGATGTGTTAGAAGGACCAGGCCCTTCTTTTTGAATAATTTCTCTCTTATCCGCACAGAATTGGAAAGGAAGTGCAGCATCTGTCAGGTTTATTTCTAAAAAAAAATCTCTAGACATTATTTTCGTTACTTGCTTTTCTTGAAAACTTAGTTTGGTTGTTCTAACAGTTGACACTTTGTCCTTTCTGCTTCTCCCAATACAGGAGGAATATGAGGCTGAGGATGAGATGGGAAAGCTGGATTGTGGACACTTCTATCACATTCGTTGTATAAAGCAGTGGCTAATGCAAAAAAATAGTTGCCCCGTCTGTAAATCTGCAGCTATGTCTAATGACTAAACATCAAAAACATTTCCACCCCTCATGAACCTGTTGTTCTTTCTGTATAGCTTCTGTTGTCATTACAAGCTAGAAAATTCTTTACAGGGCGTTTCTATCCTATTTTATTACTGAGACTGATGGTTCTGTTGTTTGAGTGGCAATCCAATATGGGTTGAAACGAGTGGTATACAATGTATTAGCCTTCTTGTTTGAGTACAGGGTTGAATGGTACAAAATCTACTACAATTAATTTTACATGTATTTCAGATGAGTTTCTGCTATTCTATGTCAAGATTGGTTTGGTGCTTCATAATACAATTCAAATTTCATGGCAGTTTAGTCCGTTTGTTTATATTTGCACCCCAGCACCAAACCGCAACTTTATTGCTAGAGGGGAAATTATTGGATGAAAATAGATGTGAGGCTCAAATTGACAAGTGCTGCATCTGGTATACGTATCTTTATTGAGGTGGGTATTTTGGTCTAGATAATGGAAAACTTGACACCATCATGTTACCATTTAAGGAGTGGGCCATCTCATATAGTCATATTTAAGTGAAGTGCATTGAGCTTTCTTAATAGTGGGTCAGTACCAGGCAATCACTTTCGCCAAAATAAATGGACCTTGATTCCTTCATTTTGTGATCAAGATTTGTGGACTGTGAGTGGGCACGACGTCAACCTCAATATCTCTATTGCTATAACAATGAAATTAGAGCAAAATCAAAATGGCCATAAATGCAACTGCACTATGAATGAATTGTATTTTTCATGCTTCATAACTGCATATCTCTTACCCACAGTGGTTCCTAGTTATCTTTCAAATGGAACTCAACGTACATATCACTAGAGTTGGATTGTTTGAGCTGCTGTCTTGACGCCCATCTCATGTCCCATGCATCCCATGTAGGATTAAAGGTTAAGCTTCTCCCACTGTTGCACAATATTTTCACTGTGGCAGAGATAATCCATCGATGAAAGAGTTAGTAATCTGCTACAACTTAACTCGGCACTGGTTGCAGAGGATGCTACACTCTATCATGTCGACTGAGGAATTCAATTATATATGGGTATACTTGATAGAAGGCCTGCATTTAGAACTTCTTCTGCTTAATAATAGGTCCATTTAGGTTAATAAAATTTGGAAAAAATTGAAAAACTAATTTTATATCACATACCATTCGTCCACCGACTAGATCATAATGGCCATAATTTGGACCCCGAGGTTCACCAAAAACTTTATACGTGACCAAGTCTTCAGGAATCAGCTTGGCAGTTTCTAGTAGGTTAACATGGCAGTAAAAAGTTAGCAGTCAGCTTAAAGAAATGACCGGAAGAAGGTAAATATATGAGTGAGCATGATAACAAATCACAAAATGATATTCTACCATACACAGCTTCAGGAGGACAAATAAGGTCTCTGTCCCCTGCAAGAGCTAAAACAGGCACATTGCTTTTGTGAAGATGGTCTTTGTAAAAGAAAGTCCCACTTCTATTCCTTAGACCACCCTTTTGGAAGACTGTTGATAGCTGTGACAGAAGTTTAGCAGGAATAGTGCCTGCACAAATGTAACCATGTGATACTCCATAAATAATGCCGAAAAAGTACTCAAAGAGTTTCTTTTATCTTTTTTCTTTCTTATATTCTTATTCAGTAAGGATGCAACATTTTAATCTATTGAAGGCTTTATGATAGATGTTAGCAACATGTTAGCAATGGTCTAATGGTCTCAAAGACGGTTGATGCAACACAACAGTTGACAAACTCAGTCAATTTATACATCAAAATACTTGGACGGGGATCTGCTTGACAGAGAGTTGGTATGGTTAAATTTAGAGTAATTTCAGAAATAAATTCTTGTTATGCTTTTTTGTCTACAATAAATGCGAGTGTTTTTTAAACTAAAGTTTTTTAAAAGTTTTAATGGAGTACAGCACAGAGTAACAGAAACATAACATTATAAACTATCCAAGTTCAAATGTGCTGATGTCCTCAGGTAGAATATATGTGATGACACCCAAATGATTGGAGTAAAACGTTAGATTCATTTGTGCAATGACATAGCAGTCCATGATAATCGACAGCCGTGGAAAACTAAGAAAGTGAAACAAGATTTCTTGTATAATAACACCTATCACAGGCAAATGCTTCTACGAACAGTGTGAAAAAAACTTGATTGCCTGTTGGATATTGCTGTTCTTGTGTAATGCCGTACAAGGATACCAATCTTGTTTAGGATGGAGTGCACTTGTCATCCCAAGTCAACAGTTCACCTAAGATGGAACCAATTATATCATTTCCCTTTAAGGCTTTCACTAGCAGGAAGCGACTAACCATAAAAGTAGAGAATCAATAAATGGAGCTGACAAAGAAAACCCCACAAGTCAATCATGTTTTGCATCTCTTCTCAGTGATGGTTATGATCTTCAACGAAGAAAGAAAACCAGCCATACTTACAAAAGTTTTTCAAGACAAGTCTCTCAAACATTTCCGGATGCATCATATTTTCCGCAGATATCTGAGGATTTAACCATGATAAGAGATATGGAGGATGAGATGCAAGAGGATAGATGGCTGCGAGTAATGCTCCGAGTGGAACAACTGGAAGATTCACAGCCTTTGCAGGATCTACCTGTGCATCCACCAACAATTAAAATCCTCCTTTCATCACATTAGAGATAAGCAAAAGTTGCAGTATATTTGAAACCCTAAAGTGCACCACATGATGTCTTCCATTTTACTTACTAAGGGTAAAAGTGTTTTCAGGGATGACCGTGAAGTAGTGTAGTCCAGTGATGAACCCAAAGTGATGACTGATGCCAACTCGGTGCACTTTCCTCTGGAACCTGGTAAATTGATACACATTAATTTATATGCATGTATATATATACTGCATGAAGTGACACATATCGTCCCTCTTTACCAAAATGTTTGGCGGCACTTTTCTCTTTCCAAGATACAGACTAAATAAACTTAGACCTAATTTCACCATTTTGATACTAGGAGAATTGCAACTTATAGTACTCATTGGTTAGTTTAAAATATCTAAATTTTGAGATAAATTAGTCTATCCTGCTTTTAGCTATGAGATTTAGTCAAATTGACTCTCGAGGAGTAATTGTTTAATAATAAACACACTGCTAGTAATCGTTCCTTTTGCTGAATAAAAAACCAAAGCACAAACCAAAGGATTATTTGATTAACTTGGGCTACCATTTTTCCCCAAACCTAAGACTAGAAAATACAAGAGTAGTGATGGATCAGAAGGTGTTATACCATTTTGTGAGAGCATTGCATACAGCAAGATACCTCCCATAGAATGGCCAATAGCGAGCAACTTTCCGTCCTTCGGTCTGCATTGGTTCCTTATGTAGTCCATCTACATAAACAAAAACAGAAGCACTAACTAGTAACTAATGCAAGTCAAGTGCATAAATATAATAATCTTAGAAAAGCTCCTGTATTATATTACACAAGGAGATAAAGACCAATCTATTCAAAATCCATGCCACGAGATGTCACCTCACCGCTGTAGGCACATCTTCTTCCAAGTAATGATCGAAGTCCCAGTTATACTTCCCAATCAGATGAAGCTGTTTCAAGAAATCTTCTACTGTAATAGAAAAGCGGTTTTGCAGACCAGTAAACTGAGAGATTGGTTGTTGACTTTCCTCAACAATATTTCCAAGTCCGTGACCAAATTCCCTGAGTTGGCTTGTAATAGTAGACACTTGTGTTGCATCTTGTAATCCTGAATTTTTTACCCAAATATGAATGTGATGGCAATGAAACCGCCTTTTTAACAGGGTTTTACATTTTTTTCCAATTGCTTCCTGATTGATTTTGTATGCTAAGGGATAAATAATCCATTAACACTGACCTTCATCTTGACTAACTTTTGCGCTCAAGCCAGCTCCTCGAACTTCAAGAATCCAAGTATCAAATCCTTGGTGAGACATATATCGTGCAAAAGATGACTGCAGAGTAATCAAAAAATTTCATTTGAAAGTTAACCATCAAACTGACATCTAGCTAAAATCAAAGACAAACCAAAAACTGCGAAATCAGAATAAAGTTTAACAATCCACATCAGCTCACACAGATATCTTTTGCTTTTATCTTGCACTACATATTGACGAAAGCCGTATGAACAATCTAAGAGAGCAGAAAAAGCACCATACCCTCAGGTATAATGAGATGACTGAACTTTGTAATTGGACAGGTACATGGTGTACAATATATTGTACATTTACGATAATAAAGTGTGAAAAAACTATCTCCAGAAGCATAGATGGTATGGTAATTTTCACAGGCTGTTATAAAATTTGGACAACAACAACAATAAACCCAGTGAAATCCCACAAGTGGAGTCTGGGCAGAGTAGTGTGTATGCATACCTTACCCCTACCTTGGACATTTAAACAAATAAATGTTAATCATGAAACAACCATCCCATTATTGGAGGTGAAAGATTGGAGGAAATGTACTGATGTTAGCGTATCAGTTATTAAGAGAATAGGATACAGCCAAATCGTCTTATGAGCCATGGACTTAACATACAAGTTACTCTGCTAATGCATTACGTACGACAGGACAAAAAGTGTGCAAAGGAAAATCTTGAAGGTATAAGCAAATACTCTATCATCAACAAGATGCCCGTAAAACTTGGAAAAAGGAGTAGCCCAGTGGGGCTTGTTGAGGAGGAATAAAAAAGCAGAGACTTACACCAGGAGCAAGATCATAGCCAATGGCATTAGTGCCTACTCCGGACAATAATAACAGAGGATGATTCCTGCGGCTCCGCTGCACACGCATTTTCACATTATATCTATAATATTCGGAAGGTAAAGGGGAACGAGGCTTTTCAAGCTTAATATATATGTATATTAATGTGTAATGTAATAATATTTTTTTAGATTTTCTATAAACATATTATAGAGTTCAATTTCAATGTAGAGCACCTGTGGTGAAGGCAAGTAGCGCCATAGGGCGAGTTTCCATTCATTGTTGGGAAGGGGAACGTAATGAAGCTCATCGGCCGTACAAACAGAGGGCTTAGGGCTGGTTTTACCACCTGCGCGTGGCCTCAGCATCTGCGGTGGACTACCAACGGCAGCGACGGGTTCTCCGGCGGAGAAAGACGGAAGGCCAGCCGGCGCGTGAATCGCCCAACGGAGATCCGATGGAGCAAAAGCAACCATTTTATTACACTAGTATTAATTTTTCTAGTATAGCATGAAAGGCATTAATATTTGATGCGTAAGGTGCGAATTTCCAAATTCTCGTTTTATTCATATTTGTTGCTTTCAGTTTTCATCAATCAATGTGATAGTATCTTAAATGCATGCAACATGTGCACGTGTCCGGTCCACAGGATAACAGTAATTCCTCAATCCCAATTTTATTAAATATATAAATATCAATGTAAGGTACATTATAATGTGATATAAATAGTAATTAAGAAATGGTTAAAAAGGTTACGTAAGGGAAAAAATATCACATAAATTTGAAAATTATAAAAATTGTAGTAATATTATCGGGAATAAAATGGCTTGTGGAGGAAAGACAGTGATAGAAGGCAATTATCCAGGAAAAGAGTAGAAGAGGACAGAGGAAGTAACGTGAAAGAGAGAAGTGCCCCTTTTGGCCACAGCCTGGCCGGTTCCAGATTACATATTGAGATATTTGATTTCTTATCCAATTGGTATATTAGTGAAAGACGCAATTGAGTAACATCAACAACACAAAGATCTTCTCAGTATTGTAAAATCTCATTGCATGGAAAAAGAAAGTCAATGACAACAAGTACACAAACATTAGCTCTTTCCAATTAAAATATCATTGCTTGGATATTTAAGTGGAGGATACAGATGAGCCTTCAATATTGTTGCCACAAAAGTCTCATTGCAAAATTATAACTGCTGTCTGAAAGCATCTTCTGGAAAATTATGCCCATTCAGTTTAGTAAATATCTACAAAATAATTGAGATTTTTCTTTGAGTAGTGTAGTAGTAGTTGACAAGCAAACAAGGGGAGCAATACCCCAAATGAAGTTTCAACTAAGGTTTTTATTCTTTATTAATGAATAAATGCAAGCATGATTCAGAATGTCATCCTTGAGGTGACGAAAAGTTTACAAGAGAAAGAATGTGTTTAGCAATTTCAACAGATGCATCTGGCTTCGCAGCCTTGAGCGCTCTCTCAGACATCTCTGTCATCAATCCCTCATTATCTGCACAAAACAGCATGGTGCATCAGGAGGACCGATGCAATAAGAATTAGCGGAAAGATTTTGATCAGGACAATAACATGTTTCAGAAAACACTTTAAAAAATGCATCTAGAGCAACCAAAAGGATCCAAACCAGAGGATGCTAAAGTGCAAAGCTGATCAAAGACAAAGGCAAGTATTGTTCATAAACCCGAAAACCTCCACTGCCTACTCAAATTAAATAAGTAGAAAATCACAGCTGAACAGAAACAAGATAAAATAGGTAGAACAAGAATAGAGGCCATTACTCAAATGGTCACTCAACTATCCTAAATTATCTCCTAAAGTCACTTTTCTTTTGTTTGTAACAACAAAGTCACTGAACTATGCATATTGCACTCAGAAGGTTACTCAACTAGATTTTCCAAATTTTGGATTGCCAAATACCTATTTTACCCTCTAAATTATAAGCATTTATCTTCTGAGTACAATTTAGAGGGTAAAATAGGTATTTGGCAATCCAAAATTTGGAAAATCCAGTTGAGTGACCTTCTGAGTACAATAGACATAGTTCAATGACTTTGTTATTGCAAATGAAAGAAAAGTGACTTTAGGAGATAATTTGGGATAGTTGAGTGACACATTAATCTAGGCCATGACAAGACTATGGTAAAATACTTTCTGTCTGAAGAGAAATACACTAGAGGTACTGAAGTAGTAGAACAAATCTAAAGTATGATTCCTTGTTCATTTTCTAAATTTTAGATTTTAGTATGTGCATAACACCTTATATGCACCATTCGACACAAGACTGCTGCTATTTATGAATTTCGGTATTTTTTGGAAGTCATCTAAAACACAAGCTGGCCCTTTCCAGATATCCTCTGTACTACTGACATTATTATTCCGATGAACACATTACATCTTGTGAGAAAAGCACATACTCCTAATCTTCAGCAACTTGAAGCAACTAAGCAACTTGTTTAATCTCTTATTTGTTTTTACTACACTCAATAAACTAAGGCACCGTAGCTCTGTTGTTTATTCACTTTCCTGTGGATTCTTGTTTTATATGTGGATACTAAGACAGGCACAAATACAGTTAAAATCTACACATACATCAACCAATCTAAAGTGTCACAGATAACCATCTTGAATGTTTACACCACCCCACCACCCTCTGGTATGTCTCAAGTGTGTCAAAGATTCTGTGATTACTGATTTGTGAGGACATCAGGAAAGCGTCATACTTGTTGCAGCCCGGTAAATGTACCTGCATCCTCTTTCAGCATATTTCTAAAATGTGAGGATAGCTTTTAAGATATTTCAGATCATAAAGACTAAAAGTGATATTTCTAGTTTAAGCTAGACAAACATGACCTTGGCTGCGGTCGGATCAATTACTAAAACCAGGTACATTTATAGACTTGATACCACGCTAACTCAAGCCCCTCCAGTTTTACAAATTATTAGTCACGCCAACATCCACTGTGAATTTATAGATTTCATATGCAGAAACAAAACCATAGATAGTCAGGTGAAGAGAAAAAGTAAAGTTTATTAAACAAAACCATGACAGCAAGATGACGTATGGATTGTTTTTTGAGTAATTGCAATAGTCAGAATAATACACATACGAGACAGAACACCATACCTAAAATTTCTTCAATCGCACTTTTAAGAGTCAGAGAGTCAAGTTCATCTTCAGTTATAACCCTCGAACCAGCTACATCGGCCATTAGACAAGCATTGTGAAATTGATGTCCTTCAGCCACATTTGGTGAAGGTATCTGCAAAAATTTCACGAGAAAGCTATAAAGAAGTGTTTTGCCAAGATTAACGAACTAATCTCTCAAGGAATGTGAAACACCAGAGTTGTAAAACCATGGAGGCAATATATGTTCATAAACATATAGGTAAGAACGGATTTCTTTTCATTTATAATGAGAAGAAACGAGAAGCCATACTTCAGCTATGAATTGTAAGTTAACGTAAATTTTGGACAAATGCTATGGTCCTCTACTTAATCTCTCTCGAATATTCTCCAACTATCTAATCGCGATCATTCAGAGGGGCTGCTATTTTGATGCATATTGCGTGTCCAATAAACACTACACATGAATAGAGTTGTCCTCCCATCAAATTTCCTCCCAAAAATGGTAAAATCAAATCGTGAGCCACAAGGCCTTTTGCATCATGGATCTGTAAAATGTCAGACAGAATATTTGTTTATTACCAGAATACAAGGTTTCCCAGCAGCCAAGATCTCAGAGCAGATCATTGCTCCAGCTCTAGATACAATAAGGTCTGCAGCTGAGTATGCTAAATCCATAGAATGCAAGAACCTTCACCAAGATAGGATAAAATCAGATTAAAACGGATAAAAGGACACCTCTTATCTTAAAGAAATTTGCCTGAAATGCAAAATTTGCCATATAGTAATCCACAATTCTCCAGTTTATATCAGGAAATAAAACATCTATAGCAGTAATGATGAAATATGGTTTTTCGTTTAAATGAAACAACACTCACGGGGTAATGTATAATCGGGGATGGAATTTTACGAGGCTCTCCATCTCATCAAATGCTAGAACGCCTGTCTGCCATATTAAAAACAAGTCTTTCCGTTCGTCTAACATTTCAGAATACAAATGCAAGATAGCAACATTAAGTGCATTGGCACCCAAAGAGCCACCAAGAATCAACACCACTTTACCGTCCCCCTTCCCTACAACCGCCTTTGAAAAGAAATGACGCCTTGCCACAGCCTTGGACGCATATTGCCTCAACGACAATCTCACAGGATTTCCGCACACCACGCATTTGTTCTTTTGCCAAAAACAATCAACACTAGAATTAAATGCAGCAAACACTTTGTCAGCAAATAATGAAAGCACCCGATTTGCTACACCGGGTACTGAATTTTGTTCTTGGATTGCTAGTTTAATGCCTTTAAGTCCAGCAGCTAGGCAAATCGGAAAAGAAACAAACCCACCAGTTCCAATTACTATATGGGGTTTGAACTCTTGAAGTATTAGGAAACTTTTGATTAGGGATTTAATGAGAATATAAGGGAGGACGAATACGTTGTACAGAGAGATGAAGGGCCGGCCCAATGGTGCGGCTTGAATCGGTGTAAACGAATATCCTGCTGTTGGCACTGCAGTGCTCTCCATTCCAGTTGGGAGCCCAACAAACAGTATTTGGGCATTTGGGTCAAGGGTTTTGAGATCATCAGCAATGGCAATAGCTGGGTATATATGGCCACCTGTGCCCCCTGCGGCCAATATGATTCGAAGAGTGTCAGTTCCAGTTCCAGCAGCTGCTGTTGATGCATTGGTGGTTTGATCTTTGGGTTTGTTTAGAGAGAGACAGCTACTGATCTTGAGATTCCTGAAGTCAAAGCAAAAAATTGAGATATTTTACGCACAATAGATACAAACAAAAGCATATACGTAACGACTATATTTATGGAGAGAAGAGAAACAGAGCCTGCCTAGATTGAAGTTGAACGGAGATTTGGGTTAAAAATAACCGGCGGTTCAGTGAAAGTTGGGAGTGTAAATTGATGGCAGTAAACATGATCGAGAAGGAATATGAAGAAGACAGAATCAAGATTCAGGGTACACATCTGTCTGCTCAAACATTAGATCTTTACTAGATTCTGCCTTAGGTAGGTAGATAAATAGAAATTTGAACTCATGCTTTTTGTTCAATAGTAGTAAATGTTTTCACAACTCCCAACCTCGTCCATTCTATTTAATTATTGTGCTACAGCTCTAAGGTTCTTTCAATTATAAATTTGAATGGATCTTATGGTTACAACTTTTTGCAGGTTCTTGTGTTCTTTCTATTTCCTCTAACTTCTGATTTAAGACGTCTTGTCCTTTCCTGGGGTTATTTTCCTTCTACTGTTGTTATTAACTGGTCAACAAGGATTCAGGCCAAAAACCTTCAATTTCAACAGGTGAGTGTAAATCTCAATTTTGACTTTGTTATATCGTACACTTTACCAATCCGAATCCGATTAAAGCTTGAAGTTTTTGGATCGATTGGAAATTGTACTCGACGAGAATTGCATAAGCTCATGATTGCTGTGTCTCCTCTCCTTGTCGGTTAATTTTTCGGTTTTTTCATTTTAAAAGTGATGCTGTAATTTACATTACTGTTTTATACTGAATTCACACAGCATATATATATATTGTTGCGGAAGCCAAATGTATATAGTGTAAATAAGTAACAACTACTATACCAAAAATTATGACAACCACCAAATAATAAATAAGACAATAAAGCAACAATAAAGGGAACACCAGAATTTACGAGGTTCGGCTAATTTTGCCTACTCCTCGGACACAACCAATATTTTATTCCACTCCAAAAATACAAGTGAAATAATACTAAA